CTTGCAAGATCATGTCTATTTGAAAAGGAAAATCAAATTACAATTCTATTTTTTTGATCGTGTTTACAAGATAAGCAGCTTCCCTCAAAAAGAGTGATGCAGATTTTTGTTCCGATATTTGCACTGAAAATAAAAGTGCAAGATATAGGTATAAAAGTGCGAAGATAGAAGAATAAATAATAGATAATAAAGTATTCTTACTTTTATTCAGAGTTAGATCCTTAGTTCTATATATAAAAGATAAGAAAACAAGTGATATCTCCAAGGTGTTCAAATAGAAAAAGAAAAGGAGAAAGATGCTGTCATATTCTTTTCTTGTTTCTTTTTGAAAACTATTTTTTCTTTTTTTTTCTCAATAAAGCTAATGATGAAAAGAGTACCTTTTCTTTCCTTCTCCTTCTTCTATCATTTATTGACTGGATGTATAATGTAAAAACGACAAGGATCAAAGAGCACACAAAGAAAAGTGCTTTTTCTAATGTAATGTCTATTTGAGAAGGCGAATTCAAATATAATTATAAATAATTATTTGATGAACAACAGAGATTATAGAAGAACAAAAATAAATTACCATTTTTTTTTTTCATTTAATTGTCGAGAAATATTTACTCAGATCAAATATCAATACACAGTGATGACGTCAAAAGTAGAATTAAGAAACAGTTGTTTCAGACATGATTTGATACTTGAGAGTGTGAGTGAAAATTATTGATCATAAAAAACCACACTAAAACAAGAGAAAATTTTTTTTCTTTCGATATATGAATTTATGTAAAGGAATGAATTACGTTTCATTTTCAAGTGCAAACAGAGTGATATCTTCTTTTTTTTATCATTCTTCTGTATATACACTATAGCGTTATCTATCATTATGCTCACATTTGTGGACAAAGATGCATCAGCTTTTGTTCTTCTTTTTGATTTTGGGATGCTGGGGTGATCTAAAAGTATTAGTCAATGAAAAGGGAGAGTATCAAATTAGTATAGGCAATAATCCATGGCTTCGTTCATCACGTACAGCATTATATGTCGATAACACATGGTATTCTTCGGAAGATAATTCATTACCATTGATAAATATAAGTTCGACACAAGGTGCGGATCCTATTCTTGGCGGTTGGAATGAGACACAATTGAACTATGATCTGATTCGTAATGGAACGCATACGACAATTGTCGGTCGCATACGCCAATGGCATTCGTTTTCAGCAATTACTTTTCATTTGGAGACCGGTGATCGAGAGATGATAAATACAGTTCCTCTGGATATGAATCATGTTCGAACGATTTTTCCATCATTTGATATCGAACAAATTGATAGTTACGATCAACGAAGTTTCTTTACCTATGAAGGTGAAATGGCTGGTGATGATCAGAAACATGCAGGTCACTGGAATAGATCAGCTGAAGTCATCAATGCTGGGATGATAGCTGGTCCAGTCATTCTTTCAAATCTTACTCAACGAGGGGAGAAGGATGTCCTAGTTCTTTCTCCATTCTCTCGATTTATGGCTACTTCGTTCGGTCAAACAAATAGTACTTTAGAGTACGGTGTGATCGGTTCGATGACGTCTATCCCAGCAAACTACAATCATTCGATGATTATTTTCTATTCCTCGAACGGTATCAGAGAAACAATCAGAGAATGGGGTCAAACGATGCAGAAAGCATACAATCGAACGAATGAACATCGTCTCAACGATTTGACTATCAATTATCTCGGCTATTATACAGATAATGGTGGCTATTATTATTATCATTCAGAAATAGGAGTAGATTATGAAAGAACGATGGTTAATGTTCGTCATCAAATTCCACTTCCCTTTCATTATATGCAACTCGATTCTTGGTGGTACTACAAAGGTATTGGACATGGCGTCTCTGAATACACAGCAATGCGACATATATTTCCCGATGGTCTTCAAGCTCTTCATCGTCGATTAGAAAATATTCCATTGGCAGCACATAATCGATATTGGGCCTATGATAATGTTTATAAACAAAAATATTCCTTCGCTCTGGATGAAAAAAATAAAAAGGCATTACCCATTGGAAATGATTCCTTTTGGGTGGATTTTTTCACTCAAACACGTGATTGGGGTCTGATTCTCTATGAACAAGATTGGCTTGATCATCAAACCTATGATTTTACACCATTGTGTACTGATATTCATCTTGGACAACAATGGTTAACATCTATGGGTGCTGGAGCTGAGCAAGTGGACATGAATTTACAATATTGTATGAGTTTACCGCGACACATTCTCACTGCTTTAGAAGTTCCACGTGTCACTCAGGCTCGAGCATCAACAGATTATGCTCTTCATCTGAAAAAACAAACTGTACCTCAATGGGCAATTGGAATCTCCAGTATGTTTCTTGATGCATTGGGTATAGCTCCATTTAAAGACGTCTTTTGGTCTACTTCATTGCAACCCGGTGCACCCTATGGGTTTTCACCACGTGAAGTCCTTCCAGAAAGAGAGATACTAATTGCTACCCTATCGACAGGACCTGTCGGAGTTGGTGATGGCATTCGTTATATCAACGCCGAACGAATCATGAAATGTTGTCGTCAGGATGGATTGATTTTGAAACCTGATCGACCTTTGACAATGATTGATATGGTAATATCGGATTGGACTTTTTCTAATGGTGTTTCTGTTGGCGAACTTTATTCAACGCAAACAACTATGTTAGTTTCCTTTCTTTTTCGTAGTTACTTAAACTATCGCTTTTGATTTAGAAATAATCAAACATTCCATGCTGTCTTTGCATCAGCTATGGAACGAGATTATCAAGTTTATCCTTCGATGATAGGTGCTCAAGTTGGAGTAATTTGGTCTTATAATAATGCAACAGATGTCAAAACTTTCTCTGAAACGAATTTCCTCAACGTTTCAGCGAGTCAATGTAACAACTTAACAGTATGTCTTTGGTACGTATCACCACTCGTCCAGTTCAGTGATTCACCAACAGCGTCGTATGCTCTTCTTGGTGAATGGAACAAATGGACAGCTGTTAGTCGACAACGATTCAATTCCATAAAAACTGATACAAAAAACAGCCAGGCAACAATCATTGTTCAAGGTGTAGCAGGTGAAACAGTTCCAGTTGTTATCTATCACAGTATTTTGTTCTCTGTCACTGTCAACTGTCGAATATCTGCAGATGATACTCCAGCCACAGTTACCATTACTAAATCGGATGTTATTTGCTCTTAAATGCTTTTCATGAATAATTCCTAATAAAAACTTTTTTTTGATAGTCTCATCTTCATTCGCCAGATTCCTGAGGGTGGGTGTGGGTGTGGATGTAGGTATAAGATGACATATCTACTACACCCACACCCTCAGAACATGAATAAATATAACATCTCTCGCAATTTTATACATGAAGTCATAATAAAAATGAGATGTTAGTATAATGTGTCATTCAAAGTTAGAAGATTGAATGAAATAATTTTAATATTCGATGAATTCAACATTAATACTTTTTTTCCCTTTCGGAATCATCTTTTCTTAATTTCTAAATTGAATTATCAAGTTTGAATCTTTTACTAATAGAAGTGATAATCGAAATATGTCAATGAACTGATTCACATTTATTTTTATATTCGCCACTTGTTCATCTTCAAAGTTCTAGGATAACTATGTGTTGTTTTTGGATGAACTGACAATTATTGAGCAAAGAAAGGAAGTTCAGTCAATAAAAAAAAATAATTATTTCATTTGCTTTTTGGACATTAGACTGATGATATTAAAGAATTTGACTAGAAAATACTGTTACTTTTAAGAATATGATAAAATAAGTAGTTACAAAAGTGAAATAAAACATTTTTATAAGATCATTGGAATTATTATCTATTGATGAATATTGAATTTCAATTGAATATTTATTCATTTGTTAAATAATCGTTTAATCGAGAGATTTTTTTAATTTTCTTTTATTTATTAATTTATTAATAGAATAGAAAAATCATCCAATTTTCCTTCATTATTTTATTATTTTAATTAAATTTGATGAATCATTTTGTTAACTAACGAAACTTTATGGAACATTTTGTTTTTCTTTTTATTTAGATTTTAAAAATAAATTTCGACTAATTAAAAATCTAGTTTTTCTTTTCCAAGGAGAAAAATCAAAAAACAATTTAATAAAATCTCTAGAAAAGAATTTTTATTTTATTTCAAAATATTCCTACTAATGAAAAAGATTTCTTTAAATAAATGACAAATTGTTTATTAAGCAGTTGAAATTTCGAATTTGTTTTTTTTTCATTTTTGATTTGGTAATAAAATAAACCTGATCTTTTGTTTATTTTTATTTGAGAATTTTTCTTTGCAAAAACAAGATTTTAATGTAGTTTTCCGATTTTGACAGATTTCATTCTTATTCATTCACCTTTTTTCTTCTCTCTTCTCTTTTTCTCAATAAATCATAAATTACAAAAATAAAACCAATAAAAAATCAATTTGTTTCTATTTACAAGTTTTATTGTATTAATTTAAAATGTTTTTCTCAATCTAAAAAATATTTTATTTGATTTATATATAGAAATTAACTTTTTTCTAATACAATTTTCTTTCAAATTCTTTTAATTTGATTCTTTCAGCAAAAGTTTTATTTGAATTATTTTATTCATTTTGGTTTTTTAATTTAAAATTAAAATTAAAAAAAGTATCTATTTATTTTTTTAAAATAGTAGATAACTTGATAGTAAGTAAATAAAGAAATAAATGCAGTTAACGATATGTTTATAAAAACTTATATGTTAAAGAAAATAAATTTTCATAAACATATTGTTAACTGCGCTTATTTCTTTATTTATTTTTTTTCTAAAAACGAAACGCAAATTTATTTATTTTATTAAAAGAAATGTTTTAATTCATTTTCATTTCTTTTTGTTGAAGATTTTTCATAAACTAATGTTTTTTTTATTTATTTTCAAAAATAAAAATCACAGTTTTTATCAAATTAAATTAAAAACATTTTTAATTTTAAATTTTTTCATATTTTTGGATTCGAGAGTTTCCCGCATCACCAACATAAAGATTTTCTTCATTATCAAATGATAAACCTGAGGGAAGATCGAATTGATTTGATTGATTTCCTTGACCATTTCCACCAACTACAACTTCACCTTCTTCATCTCCGTCACACCAACGCATTACTCGATGATTACAGTAATCTGCCACATATATGTGACCCAAATGATCAACAATCACTCCTTGAGGACAATCCAATTGTTTGAGACTATTTCCTCTCCCATTTGTAGCAGCCACAATAATTCCTTCTTTTGCACCTTTTTTCCATTTCATTACACGATGATTGAAGTAATCTGATATATAAAGAGAATAATCATCATCAATAAAGATATTACTAGGACCATACAGTTGATTAAGATGATTTCCATGACCATTTCCACCTGCCACCAATTCACCCTTTTCATCTCCTTGTTTATATCGTCTTACTTCATGATTCTCTATATCGGAAGCATAAATAAATCCATTTTTATCGATTGTCAGACCATGACAATCAATATTTGAAATAATAGTTTGTTGATCTGTTTGATTTTGGTCAAAATATCGAACTACTCGTCTGTTCCCGTTATCAGAAATAATAAAAGAATTATTTTCTTTATCAAAAATTGTATTTATTGGGTAACTCAATTGATTATTTTGATTTCCTTTTCCATTTTTACCTGCAATGGTTTGACCAGTATTTGAATTCAATTCCCATTTAACAATACGATGATTATAATAATCAGCAATATAAACTGATTTATTATTATCAATAAATATCCCACAAGGAACAGAGAGTTGATTTAGTTCCTGTCCGGATCCATTTCCTCCAGCAACAGTAATTCCAAATTGTTTGTATTGATTCTTTTTTGTTTCAATTAGTTCTAAAATAAAAGATTTTCTTTTTATTCAAAATCTTTTCGAT